TTATTCTTTTTCATTTTTACAACTTGTAGCTCGGTCTAACCCTCACATGTTTTTCTTTTGCAGGCGTTTATTGCTTCCATTCACTTGGCTGTTATGGTAAAGGCCGAGCTTGATGGAAGGGAGGCTTTGGCAGCGAAAGAGAACTCCTCTGCTGCCTTAGAGGCTGCCACCACGCTGAAGGGCGAGCTGCTGAAGGCCCAGAGCGAGGTGGATATCTTGAGGGCCGAAGTGGAGGCCAAGGCTGAGCTGCTGAAGAATGAGGATGAAAGGCATAAGAGCCACCTTCGAGCTGCCCACGCCATCACCAAAGGGCTGGAAAAGGAGAAGTTCCAGCTCTTGAAGCAGAAGGACGACCTGGCCCAAGTTCTTGAGGAGAAAGACGCCACGTTAGGGCGCCTTACCGCCAAGCTAAGGGAGGTGAAGGAACGCCTCACCAACGGAGCTCTTCTGGAGGCAGCTTTCAAGCAATACCCAGACTTCGATGGGTTTGCCAAGGACTTTAGTGATGCGGGCTTCAAGTTCTTGATGAAGGGCATTGCTGCCGACATGCCTCACCTTCAGATCGATCTCAGCGATCTGAAGAAGAAGTTCGCTGAAAAATGGACCTCTGGGCCTAACAATACCCCAGACCCCCAGTCAATGGTGGAGAAGTATGTCAGGGAACTGGACTCTGACTACTCCGATATGGAAGATGAAGACGCTCCAAGTCAGGAGCCAGCTGATGTTGGCACCACACAAGAAGACGTCCCTTCACAGCGGGGCGGATCCCAGGAGATGAACCTTCTGGGCTCCCAAGGCGAGCTGTCCTCTCACCTCGGGAGTAGCCGAGGCTTCTTATCTATTCTGCTTCTTTTTTTTGTGTGTAAGTCTTTGGGCAGAGCTGCAAGGTATACAAGCCTTGGCTCTGTCTTTTAATCAATGGAATCTTCATTTCTCCACTTCTGTACATCAAGCCTTGTCTGTTCTTTTATTTCTTTTTCCTTAAGCTTTTGAACTTGCTTTTATAAATTTGAACTCATGTATGAATAATTTCATCTCGCACCTCTAACTCTTTCCACATCTCCCCTTTTACTTACGTTTGTTTTAAGGTTTAAATTTGAGAGTTTCCTTCACTGGTTTTTGATATTTCTCCTCGAACTCGGAAGTCAAAAAGATAATATTAAACAATTTGAACTTCCTACATCGCACCTTTAACTTGAACGTTCAAAGGGTTGAATTTTGGTTCATAATTGATTTTGACATCGCACCTCGAACCCGTGGGTTTTTAGGATTGAATTTAATCAATTTTTACATTTACCTTGCCGGTTTTAAGTCTTATGGGAGTCCGTGGCCCCCATTTAATTTCTGATCAAACTCAGAGTCACGAAATTAAATAACTCCGTTTATTAAAAGTTTCGCCCCTTGAAAATTTTTACAAGTCTATTTTAGGACCATTTTGACATTTCAAGGGTAATAGCGCTTTAGGTGCTCTGCGTTCCACGGATGCACAAGCACGTTTCCTTCCAGGTCGGCCAGCATGTACGTTCCAGGTCGGACTATGCCTTTGACCTCGAATAGTCCCTCCCAACTTGGGTCAAGGGTGCCCACATGACTTTGAATCTTCCTGAGGACCAAATGTCCAACTTGAAAGCTTCGAGGTCGAACTCGGGCATTGTAATGTCTGGCCATTCTGTTTTGATACTCTGCTAATTGTAGCTGAGCCATTTCCCTTTTTTCTTCTAATAGGTCGAGGTTAAGGAGCAGTTCGGCCTCGTTTCTGATCGATTCGTACTGCTCTACCCTGTCGGTCGGCATGCCGATCTCAACTGGAACGACAGCTTCAGAGCCAAAGGCAGTGAGAACAGGGTTTCGCCAGTTGACTTCTCGGGGTGGTCCGATATGACCATAACACTTCAGGTAGCTCCTCGGCCCATCTTCCCTTTCTGGAGTCCAATCTCAGCTTGAGTCCTCGTTTTATAATTTTATTTATCGTTTCAACCTGCCCATTTGCTTTTGGATGCACAGGGGACGAACTGAGATGGCTTATGCCCAGCTTCCTGCAAAAGTCCTTGAACTTTGCATTGTCGAATTGMTTTCCGTTGTCCGTCACAATAGCATTTGGTATACCGAAATGACATACAATGTTTGTCCATATGAAGATGTGACTCTGGACTCCGTGATGTGGGAGAGCGCCTCGGCCTCAGCCCACTTGGTGAAGTAGTCCACAGCGACAACGACGAACTTGGTTTGTCCTTTGCCCAGAGGCAATGGACCTATGACGTCAACTCTCCATTGTGCGAATGGCCATGGGGCCGAGTTGTCGCAGGTTTTCACAAACTGCTTTGCATCCTGCTCGATAGTGGGCCAATAGTACCCTTGTCGAACCACCTTGGCCGATAACGACCTGGCGCCAGAGTGGTTTCCACACACTTCTTCATGGATTTACTTAAGAATGTAAATGCCTTCTTCGGGAGTTACACACTTAAGTAGATGTAGGGAGAAGCCACGTCGGTACAATGCTCCATCTCGGAGTATGAACCGAGCTGCTTTTCGCGCCATTTTCTTGTGCTCCTTTGAATCTTGCGGTGGATTCCCTTTGATGAACTCCACGATTGGATCCATCCACGAGGGTGCTGGAGTATCAACCTCCATCAAATCTGGCTCCAAGATTGAAGGATTGTCCAGGATCTCGACCGGGACCGACTTGGCCAGGTCGGTCTCATATGCTGATGCCAATTTGGCTAAGGCATCTACGTTGGAATTCTCTGATCTTGGAACTTGATCCACGTCGTAAGTCTTGAATTGGGCGAGGTGCGATCTGACTTTGCTTAGATATTTTTCCATCTGGGAGTCTTTTGTTTGATACTCCTCCTTAATCTGATTTACGACCAGCTGGGAATCACTAAAGACCTTGATGTGGATGGCCCCCAGTCCTTTGGAAACACGTAGGCCTGCCAGAAGCGCTTCGTACTCAGCCTCATTATTTGAAGTCTGAAAATTGAATCGTAGGGCATACTCGAACCGCATGCCACCTGGCGCGAGCAAGAGGATTCTTGCTCCGCACCCTCTCTCATTGGAAGATCCGTCAACGTAGATCGTCCACGGGACGTTAGACTCGACCGATCGAGGCGGTGGGGTGAGCTCCACGATGAAATCTGCCACTTCTTGCCCCTTCAACGCAGTTCTGGGTTCGAACTGGATGTCGTATTCGCTCAACTCCATTGCCCACTTCATCAGGCGCCCTGATGTTTCTGGCCTGTGGAAGATGTTCTTCAGCGGTA